CCATCGAATTGGTGATTTTTAAAAAGTAATCCGGTTATCGGACATCGGTGAAATTCAAAAACCATTTTAGCGCGGCTTCAATTATTCAAGTGCCGCTGTTTTGTGCTCGAGCGTGCGGGCACCTATAAATATTTTCCTAGTCCCTTGGAATAATTGCACCGGCCATCGATTGCTTCCACAGCCGCGGAATAATTAAAACTCGCGTTTCTCCGGACAGAAGCGAATTAAATATATACATCGATCCACACGATCCACCCATTTTCCCTCGAATCTCGGGTGTCATCGATATAATCAATTGGTCGATCAAATCAACGAGCGACTACGACATGCCCACTTTTTTCCGAAATAAATTCATGTACAATCAGTTGGGATTTTCAAGCTGACTCTCGAAATTCGATACTATTCATTAAGAGTCCAATTACCGTGTCAGAGTTGGGCACGATTGAGCTACGGATTTTCAAACACTTTATCAGAAAACTTTTTTATTGATCCATGTTAATATAATACAGATACAACTTTCTTTTTTCTAACAGATAAGTGTAATACATTTTAGACGTTAAATTTTATTGTAAATAATTCGAAATCAAATCTTGAAATATGTATGATAATACTTTCACTCTTTTTTTCTGAAAAATTGTTTTTTCTTTCATATTGACTGATTTTTTTTTTTCATGGAAAAATTTCTGTCAAGCACTGTCATGTGAATAGTAATTAAAAAATTTTTTGCTAGTATATACAATCGATTACCCTAGAAAAATTTTTAAAAAATTGGAAAAATATTTGTGACCAAGTTTCATTACACTAAAGGAATAAGAATCTCATTTTTCGTTCAAATAATTCAATCAACCCAGGTAATCATTCAAAAAAAAAAAAAAAAAAAAACTACCAATAAAAAAAGAACATTTTTGTTGAGTCTTGGCTACACGTCAATGTCAGATAAAGCCTCGACCAGTGGTAATTCGATACTCTGTCGCAGACTCGTGGGCTACGATGAAAAATCGAATATCTCCTTTACCCGAAGTAAAAGCTCAAGCAGCTGAATAATTCCCGCGAAGACCAAGAATGGCCATTTGGACCCACGCGCCGATCAACTTTTCTGACAGTGGCCGCGAAACAAGCATTTCCCATCAGATCGCTCGTCCGTCCCTACACGACCCGTCGCCCGAGTACACAGCCTCGATGGTCTGTCAGTGTTGGTACAGGCGCGCAAACGACTATTATTATTATTATTATTATTGCAGCTCAGCCGATATTGACTTTGTCTTTCCACTACTTCGTCTTGCCATTTAGTTGTAGAGACACACGCAATGAATAGTTTATCGGCAGATTCCCCTTTGCCGACGGAAACGTCTCGAGTCTTTGCTATAATATCACAAACTCGTCTACTTTTCTAAAGTAGATATGTTTAGAGTACACTTTTTATGGAAAACGTGAAGTGCAGCTTGGAGCAAATGTGATTGACTTTATCAGCTACTTTGTTTTTTTTACCATTTGTTTAATTTGATTTATGCGTCAAATTTCAATATTTTCACAATCTTCAAGATTAATGAGTAAGCACCGTCTATCGTACAAAAGTTTCATTACATTAACTTGACTCACAACTCACATTAGCAATGTAAAAAAATTGAACAACTTGATCACGCAATACCGTGTTTCGACATCCAGAAATGTGTTATCGAATGGGTTTTTTTCATTATTGAAAATCATGTGGTCAGATCTCGAGTCTGTATGGGAACCTGATAAAACGTTATCGTACGTCTAGTACTAAGAAACGAGCTCGACGAATCTCGAAGTCCGTGTATCCCAGAGCGTCACAATCTTCGGTTAGAGTAACTCGTATACGCGTAAAATGTCAAAATTTATTAAACTTGCGTCTAATTGTTGCTTTTTCGATTTTGTATTAATATCTTCGTTTTAAATAAAGACAATTTTCGTATTTTTTTTTTTTTAATTTTGAGTGATCTTTAAAACAGTGACCATGAAAGGAATCACTCGATTATCCGTGTTACTTTTAGCTTGCATCAACATTCGAGCAATGGAATCTTCCGTATTTAGTCGTGACATTGAAAGGGGACGAAATTTGTTTGTAGTGGCAAATAAAATGGACAAACTTCACGAGACTTATGTATATGCAAAGTGTAGTATTATCAGCTATTTTGGAAACGATACTTCAACTAACTGTACGGTAACATTTGAAACGCCACGCACCACGAACGAATCGAGCATCAAATTTTGTGATGTACAGTATACCACTGACGAAGGTGTTGAGGAGTTTTTCACATCACCCGTTAAGTTATATCTCCTAGATAACAAGAGGGTCATGTTGCAAATACCGCTTACCACGCATCAAGACAATCATCTCATGAAATACAAGTCGCTGTACAGTTTCATCGACATGAGCACATGTGTTAACAATAACCATTATGTTTTATCGAAAAATTCATTGGTTCAAGTGCCATTGGTGAATCAAGACTCAGTCAAATTCATTTATCACAACACCACGATGTGCGGTAGCTTCAGCAATTGTACGATTAAATTTGACTTTGATGGTAATTATTTTATTAATAAAATTGGTAAATATACGAAATGAATATGAAGGCTTTGTTGACTAAAATACTTGAAAATAAGTAAAATTAGAATAAATATTACTTTGACGAACGAGTAATTTTAATAAAGCACTTTTTTTATTTCCAACAGGCAACAGAAGAGATGATCCAGTTAATTTTGAAGGCAACATACACAGCTTAGATCTGTCAGTAGCTGTACTGCATAACAGTTTTTTCTACCTTAACCGTCCATGGTACGAATACAGCGAGTTTCAGACGCTATTCCACGTCAATCATGCAGGTCGACAGAGGAACCTGACTCGCTTCTTGCCAGACAAGAAATTGATGCTCCATAAAAAAGCATCGATATCATCCAGTAACAATTTTTTCGGATTGGGATGGTCAGTAGACGCCAACAACAACGTATTTTCATTCTTTCAGTACAACGCGAAGGGAAAAGTAAAATTGAATACCACGTTGACGTTAACGATTAAAAAAAATTACACGTGTAGCGGAATATTGTGTTTCTTCTCTATTGAGCCGCACAACACTCACAACGGCGCACTAGCCCGTATTTATAATCTACCCGAAGGTGGGATGCTCGTTTTCCTGGTAAAATGTCCCACTATGGATTGCACTGGTTTTGATGTTGTTAAAATCAACAAGGACAGTAAGTTGGAAGACCAAACAGCAGCAGTAGATGACATTATCAATGATTGTAAGTTACCGCCATTTGAGGATTTGTATATGGACTTTTCGGTGGATGATAAACAATTTTGCATCCACACTGTTTGTACCGTCGAGCGCATAGCTCAGACATTTTCTGTCGGTGATTCTGTAAAGTTACGGAGTAGATGCGTTCCCAGGGAAGGCATTTTTTACTTTCCCGTGAAAATTTGACTGTACGACTATTTGATTAGTTTTCTAGTCAATGTAAAAATAAATAAGTTGTCTGTATGCAAATAGAACATTGTGGCATTTTTTATTTCTCCACAAACCTTTGTACTCCAAAATCGACAACAACATCGCATATATATGTGCATGAGGAGCTTTTCCCAACTACGTAAACATCAACTACAAACGACATTTTTATTTCTATTTTATTGAACAAACAATTCAAGTCCCGAAGTGAATATATGTATGTTTACTTTCGTTCTGCTAGAGTTGTACAGTTCGATAACTTGCTACTCGCAAGAGATTTTGGAAATCACACAATTTTACGATTGCAAGCTCCTTTCCATCCGTACAACCACTCTATACTACTCATTTACGGGATCTTTATAAAACTCTTTTGGCTATTATCACTACTCTTCGTGTAGTTCTTCAACCATTGTCAAATAAAATCAATCCATCAGCTCGAAATGATCTTTTTTTTTTTTTTAAGTAGTGTTATACAAAACAACTAGTTATTGATTCTAATTGAGTAAAACATAAAAAATTTTACGGCGTGTCCTACCTGTAGTGGCCGTACAATATTTTTCATCATTACAAGGAAATTCTCTCTGATTTTTAAGTCAGTTTTATAATATTTTTATCCATAGTAATATTGACTATTCTGTTTTTGCCAAGCTTTTTTTTTATCTTCGGAGCCTCTTACTTCCTCTTCTGCAGTATTGGCGGGTAATGCTCTTTTGTACACGTCATTTCGTGATAAGTAATGTCTGAGTGATTGGAAATATAATGAGCCGTGGACGGGTGTGTGAGACACTATAATACCTTCACAACTTGTACGTCTTTGGTATATAAATATATAATAATAATGTGATCAAGCCATAAAACCAAGCAAGGCCAGTAAATTTGAATAATTGTACAAGCTGTTGGTTCGTTAACATCGAGCAGTGATACAGACAGGAAAATGTCCCGAGTACCTACTGGCTGCTTCAACGCGTATTTTTTTCTGAAGTTTTCACTTGGTATTGTAAGAGATTTTCGTTTGCCATCCATCCCAAAGAAGAAAATAGTTTTTAAGTAAAAACAAAAAAACTATGTTGTAATAAAAAAATATATTCAATTACTCCATTGAAAAAATAACAAAGGTGGCCTTTGGCTCGAACTCATGATTTAAAGATCACTATTCAACATCCATCGAATTGGTGATTTTTAAAAAGTAATCCGGTTATCGGACATCGGTGAAATTCAAAAACCATTTTAGCGCGGCTTCAATTATTCAAGTGCCGCTGTTTTGTGCTCGAGCGTGCGGGCACCTATAAATATTTTCCTAGTCCCTTGGAATAATTGCACCGGCCATCGATTGCTTCCACAGCCGCGGAATAATTAAAACTCGCGTTTCTCCGGACAGAAGCGAATTAAATATATATTCGATCCACACGATCCACCCATTTACCCTCGAATCTCGGGTGTCATCGATATAATCAATTGGTCGATCAAATCAACGAGCGACTACGACATGCCCACTTTTTTCCGAAATAAATTCCTATTGGAATTTTCAAACTGTCTCTCAAAATTAATCGGTACAATTAGTTGGAAGTATTCGTTTGATCAGGTTTTACTTATGTACTGCTGATTAAATTGCATCCAATTATTTTTCACCAATCAAATACCAGAATTTTTCTCTCAATTCAGTGAAAAATAATTTGGATTCGAAAAACAAATGCTTTTGCGTAAGTTACAAATACGTTGCTCTAAAAGTTTTTACTTCTTATACCGGGTAATTCCACAGAAATTGCGATTTTCTATATTTTAGTCTTATAAACGAATGCTTCGAATGGTTTTTCAGCAGAAATCTTTAATTAATGGAGTAAACTTTTTTTTGCTAAATATCTATGTAATATATTGAAAAAATGCATCGTATAGAAGAATAAAAAGGCTTACACGTCATTTGTGTTCATAGACTCAATCAAGCGACCCTTAGGCGCCGGCACGGATCAGACTTTTTTGTATTTTAAAAATGTAAAAAAACACTGATAATTTATTTCAAACTTCAATATTGAATGTTCTTTGTGACAGTATCATATTAAAACTATGTAATGTTGACCATTTCAATTCACATTCAAATTATCTATTGGACGGTTGCAGCTATTTCGAAAAGCCTTATTTATTATTTTCGCAACTTTTGAAAATTCATCATAGAATAATATAATAGTCATTTCATCGGTTTATCCATGTTTTTTCCTAATAAAAAATAAATGGAATTTCTTTTTTCAAGTCACCTGTATAGTTAAAAAAAATGTCACAAGACTAATTATCATTTTTTTATAATTTGTATAAAAAATAAAAATAAATAATGCTAAGCAATAATCTATTTCTATTTTCAACTTCAAAGTATTTAATTTTTCGTAAAATAATCTAATCAAATGATCCAACACGTAGGTACAGGTAATTACGTAATAGAAAAACTGTTAGGCTTTAGAGAAAGAGCTTTTCTCCCAATAAAAAAAAGAACTTTTTTGTTGGAGTCTTGGCCACGCGTCAATGCCAGATAAATCCTCGACCAGTGGTAATGCTATACTCTGTCGCAGACTCGTGGGCTACGATGAAAAATCGAATATCTCCTTTACCCGAAGTAAAAGCTCAAGCAGCTGAATAATTCCCGCGAAGACCAAGAATGGCCATTTGGACCCACGCGCCGATCAACTTTTCTGACAGTGGCCGCGAAACAAGCATTTCCCATCAGATCGCTCGTCCGTCCCTACACGACCCGTGGCCCGAGTACACAGCCTCGATGGTCTGTCAGTGTTGGTACAGGCGCGCAAACGACTATTATTATTATTATTATTATTGCAGCTCAGCCGATATTGACTTTGTCTTTCCGCTACTTCGTCTTGCCATTTAGTTACGACGGGAACATCTCGAGTCTTTGTATATTATGCTTTTTATAAACATGTCTACTTTATCATTTGTAACACTACCTACTAAATGTATAAAAATAAAAAATGTCTGAATTGCTCTGTTTTGTTTTTTTACTATTAGTGTATTCCCATGTACACGTCAAACCTCAATAATATTTGTACAATCCGTAAGAGTTACGAGTAAGGACATTTTTTACCGCTAATTTTATTACTGTATGGGACAAGGTAACGTTAATAATAACACTGATTTTCACCCTTCTTTCTCATTCATCTACTTATACATCAAAGCTTAAACCTCTGCTCTCTATCCATTTTAACTTGAGCTAATACTTGCGACCTCACCATCATTTTACTTAATTTGTACTTTTATTTTTGATTTTTTTGGCTACCCCTCAATTATTATATCCTTGATCTCAAATGTTAATTTACTTTTGTAAACTAATCTGTATACTGATGCGTTTTAATATACACTGTAAAATTACAATTTGGACCCATACGTGGTTACACCACATGGTTTAATAAATGTTACTTTTACGTACGGTTCTTTTTTTTTGGTTTTTTTACAGCTTCATCTTGTAACAATGTATTCCAAAACCCAAAGCTACAAGTAGATTTTTCTCATTGAAAAAAATATAGTAAGATCTCAAGTCGGACACATAAGGTGCGAGACAATCATTATTTGTCTAGCGCTAAACAATGGACGTACGTTTTAGTCCACGTCTCTTAGAGTGTCACAACTTAAGGTCAGAATAACTTGTACCTACACGTAAAAATAAAATATGTATTACAACTGTGTCTTTTACGTGTTGACCTTTTGGATTTATTTTCAAAGTAACGTAAGATACAATTTTATCTCACCGCAACACTAGCATGTACACATGCATGTCTGTACAAATTTTTATTAAATAGATTTTTGCAAGATCTTAGCTGGTATAAAAACGCGATGAAACACTATTGTGAGTACAGTAAGAAAAATACAGCTCGACAAATCTGTACACCTCGCAGTTCCACAAATTTCAGGGAAAGTATTTAGTACACGTACTTATTAATTAAAAATACATTTTACATTTTACATTTTTTTGTCAAATGTTAAATTTTCAACTCAACATTATTGTAATCATTCAATTTCATTATGATTTTCAACTTGTCAAAATTTTTGAGTATTATTAAACAATAATAGAAAACAAGATATTCTACGATGAAGATGGTTATCGAATTACTCGTGTTACTTTTAGCTTGCATAAATATTCGAGCAATGGAATCTTCCGTATTTAGTCGTGACATTGTAAGGGGGCGAAATTTGCTTGTAGTGGCAAATAAAATTGGCAAACTTAATGAGACTTTTGTGTATTCGAAGTGCAGTAATACTGACGATTGGGGAAATGAAACTATGGCGAACTGCACATTAACGTTTGAAACGCCACGTACTGCAAACGAATCAAGCATACAATTTTGTAATGTAAACTATACAGCTGAAAATGGCGTTAAAGAGTTTTTTGCGCCACCAGTAAAGTTATATCTTCTTGATGACTCAAGAGTCATTCTGCAAATGCTCATTTCAAAAAGCTCATTTTACTTCAAGAGCCAATAATTTATCAAGATTCGGTTAAATTAATCAATTATAAGACCGATTTATGTGGCAGTTCCAACCTCTGTGCAATTGGATTTGATGTTGATGGTAATGATATAGTGTATTATTATTTACTTAATTTATTTCATAGATTTGGCGGATAAAAATTACAACTGAATGTTAATTGTTTAGCTTAACTGTTATTACAAAATGATGAAAATATACGTTTATCTAAAACGTTTTTTAAACCACAATCACATAAATCAATAATTTGTTTTTTCATGTCCAACAGGCAACAGAAGAGATCATCCAGTCAACATTGAAAGAAACATAGATAGTTCTGATCTATCAGGAGCTGTATCAAATAATGGTTTTTTTTTATATTGGCCCACAGTGGTATGAGTCTGATCGATATTATACGCTATTTTTTGTTGATCGTGCAGGCCAACAAAAAAATCTTACTAGATTTTCGGTATTTGAGAATTTCATGTTGAATAGAAAACCATTGATTTCGTCAAGTAATAAGCATTTCGGAGTAGGTTGGTCCATGGGTCCCAAAATATTTTCTTTTGTGTAATACGATGACGAA